AATATATATTTTTAATTTAATATCTATAAAAAACAAAACTATATACTGTAAATATAAATTACTATAAATATTTGAAATAAAATTTAATTTAAATTTGTATTTTGAAACTATAATTAAAGATGAATAAAATTAAAAAAAAACAAGAGTTGAAATAAAAATTTTAATAAAATCCATATTTTAAAAATTTCAATTAAAAATAAACAAAGTTGTTTTTTAAATAACAAAAATAAAAAAATATTAAATAAATCAATATTTAAATTATTAACATTAATGATTTTATATTTTAATTTATTACAAAAACAATTATATAATAAATTAATGTTTTATATTATTATTAAAAAAAAAGATATTAGAAAATCCAAATAGAAAAACTAGATACAAACAATTATTACTTACAATCTATACAAATAATTGATTAAATAAAATAAGATTAATTGATTTTTTGTATATTAATATTACTTGTATTGATTTTTTTTTTTTACTTGATAATAAAGAAAAAAATATAAAAAATTAAAAGTATATACTGTAATTACTTGTTGATTAAAGTTCAAGGGTATTAAAAAACCAAAGATTTGTTTAATTGAAGAAAATAAAATTAATTTAAAAAATAATAATTAAAAAAGAATAAATATACTATATATTATTATTATTGATATTCTGATAAGAAATTTTTTAAATAAATATTTTTATATATTTATAGTGGCTATCTTTTTTTGATAATAATAAAAATAACAATATTCTATTGTCAATATACTGCGTATTGATTTGTTTAGAATGGTTTTTTTTTAATGATAATTTGTTACATTGACAAAATCTGCCTTATAACAAAAAATCTTGACAGATCGCACGTGGTAGAGATGTTGAGAATTGGGGCTTTGACGATAGCCGTTTCATTGTAAGGATTACCTCGGTGGTACATAAATGAGACAATACCGGATTTCCCAATTCATGCATGCATGCAAGTTTATTATTGTGTTTATTGGTTTTGCGGTTAGAGCAGATTGGACACATAGATTCATGGGTCTGTCGACCAAATAATATTTCCTCAAGTTACAAAGCCATTCTCAAAACCAAAGATGGATTTAAACCTTTGAGATGCTGTTTACATTTTTTCGTGCGTCTTCCAGTGACATTTGAGGTTGAGGCAAAAACATCGAACTTTCAGTGTGAGGGCGCAATTGCCACCCGTCTATTTATAAAAATAAAAAGCTGTGCCATCTTACATAGCCTTTGTCGTATGTTCGTTCGATGCAATATCATCGACTCAGCCTCATTCGATCACAAGTTTCTCTGAAAATTTTTCAGACACATGGAAATAATTCCATTTCAATGCGTACAATGAATCCTAGATTTGGAAAGTGCTTTACACTATCGAGTCTTGGTGCCACTACAATCGAAATGTTTTCGACAAGTCAAATACCAAGCCAAATCGCGACAACAAAAAAAAAAAATCCGCCCCTACAAAGTAACCATAAGCCACTTTTGGAAATCATTAATAGGCACACAGCCAACTTCAATTTCATTTAACTGGATGTCTACGGGTTTTCAGAAAATTTTTTGTTTAAATAAAAAAAAAAAAAAGAAAAAAAAATTAAGGATTTCTGCCGCCTCTAAATAAGAAAATCCTTGGGTGTTTTCGTTATTCTTTTGACGAAATTTATAGAAAATATGAAGAAGCATTCTATCATTTTATTATTGGCGGTCTGGGTTGTCCTGATCCAGGGTAAGAAGAAAGAGGGAAAAGCGAGATGGAATGAAAGAATTCAAAGAGATGTAACAAGTTCATTCATTCTTTTGTCACAGGCATCTTTGCCCAGACCACGAGTTGTAGTACGGATAAAACCTTTTGCGTTACAATCACGCCTCCTTTGACTTCAAGTGCGAGCTCTTTAGCGACATTCAAATTGGTTGCACCATCAACAGTTGGGTAAATTTGATGCGTCGATTTTTTTCTTTTTGGTTGTTTTTTTTTTGAGAAATATTGTGTCTCGACTGTTGACATGATCGTCTATGCCTTAGTTGGGTTTCGGTGGGTATTGGTTCGTCCATGATTGACAATTACTTGGTGGTAAGTACACACCTGAATTTTCCGTAGAATGTTTAAAAGTGTGGATGGGAGATTCTACGTAAATCGTTTCGTTTCAAAAAATGTAGATGGCTTGGCCAACTACGACGAATACTGTGGCCATTTCGCAACGTATTGCCACCTCCTATTCTGTGCCCATTTTGCTAGGCTCACAAAGTGACATTACCCTGGATCCGTCAAGTGGTATTAAAGATGGATTTTTCACGGTGATTTTCACTCGTCCATCAGTGATCGCGAATTCAACGTTCAGCCAAGATACAAAGAATTTTGTCTGGGCCATGCAATCCACTTCACGTCCCTCCGATGACTCAACCACGACCACGATCACTATGCACGATTCATTCGGTTATATTTCATTGGACGGTGGTATGACGGATCGACAAAAGTACATACTCGCCCATGGTAAGTAACCATGAATCTTGTGTAAACCATTTAGAAGATCGGTAATCGTAATAATCGGAATTGTTTACTATTAATTTTTTTTAGGCATCGTAATGTTTTTGGTTTGGGGATTGATTGTTCCCGCTTCAATATACATCATTCGATTTGCGAGAAACATTTTACCAGGCTTATTTTTCCGATTGCATTGGGTCTTTCAAGTTTTCTTGGCATCACCTTTGATCGTCATTGGTTGGTTATTGGTTCTTGGAGCCGGGGTGCAATTCAATCCGAGCAACACTCATCACGTGAGTGAATCAACATTTCATTATTAGGATTTTTTTTTTTTTTGTAGTGATTCTTTGACCATCAATAACATCACATCAATCACAATGAACAGGTTCTCGGAGTGGCCATAACTGCTTTATACTTTGGTCAACTTACCCTCGGATGGATTCATCATCAGCTATATGATCCCGAACGTAAATATATTGCATGGTGGACGAAGCTTCATTGGTAAAGGTTTCTTTCTCCGCCTGTAACGAAACCCATTCACGCCGTGCGTGCTAATTTTTCTCGACGCACTTTTTTAGGTGGTGGGGCAGAACATTGGTGATCATCGGATTTGTTCAACTTGCCCTTGGTTTAGAGGAATACAATGCAGGAGAAACAGTTGTGATCATTAGCTACATCTGGTTCATTTTGGTCATCGCGCTATATATTGGATGGTCGTATTATCTATATAGGCAAAGGAAGGAAGGAAGAAAGGATATTTTATACACTGGGATACGTCGTGGTGACGAACAAACCGAGAGTTAGGTGCAATTTGTAGTAATTCTGTGCATTTGATTTCATCTTTCTGTATATACTGTATAATCATGGTGGTTGTCAGTGAAATTGGGTTACAGGAAATGACATCATCATTCATTTCCTGTAGCTTAATTTTGCTGACGAATGAATCGTGCGTGCGCTATTGCTAGTCAAGGTCCTTATTGGTTTTTGTAAAACAACATCTGTAAATTTAACGTGTATCATAATTAATAGACAGTTTACGCGCTAAGAGATGTATCATACTTGTATACAATATATATACCCAAATCTCTCATCTATTATCACTTTTTGTTTTCATTTTTTTTTGTCCTTTAGGTCTTTTGACAACATATACAACTACGTAGGTCATTACTACAATGACTATTACCATCAACATCCCAGTGAACAACAGTGCTGCTACTATAACAATAACTTTTACCTAAGCCAATTAAAATTTCAAATGTTGGAAAATTTAGGAATTCAATATGAAGTTACTTTATTATGCGTATTAATATTGTTCGTGATGGGATTTGTTGGTGGCGTGTGGGTTATCAGTTATACCAATCAGAACTTTGGTTTCTGATCTAATTTTATTTTCGGAAAATTTTCTTTCCTTCTTCTTTCTCAAAAAATTCTTCTTACAATAAACATTTGGAATTCATACATATCGGGGTTTTTATGTCATTCACATAATCAACCTACAAGGGTGATTATGGTGATTATGGTGATTATGCGTATACGCGTTTCTTTTCTTTTCTCTTGAGATACAATTTTATTTTATTTTATTTCTATCTTTTACACCTTTAAAACACACACACACACACACATTCCTTATTAGACTATTTTCTTGACATGTTTGTGGCTTCTTTTTTGTTTTGTTGTTCAATTAAGGCTTTGTAGTCAGCGGTTGTTCCGGGCGTCCTAGAAATGTAATATCTCCAAAGGTTCGTGTTATTTCTCAGAGATCCATTCGACACTTATCCACCAATTAACAACAATTAACAACAATTAACAACAATTCAACGATACAGGCTAATCTACATAATCGGGTTCTATCCACCGTTTACGGCGTTTCTCCGCGATCCACCAAATATTTACAACCATTGACTGTGGCTCTATCCGCTCTTTTTTTTTTTTGGATTCGCAATTCCTGACCGTGGCTTCTTATTTGTTTTTCTTGCTTCGCACAAGAAAAACTCCACACATTCATGTAGCTCCTTTTTTTTCCACTTCATAATTAATTAACTTACCATCCGAGTTATCATTATTCACTATTTGTAATATATATATATATTCTTTTACATTCGCAATAAAGTTAATCTGAATTCTTTGGTTTTGGTCAAAATATTCTTTCTTTTGCTCACGACAGATGTTACGTGTGTTACACGCGGAGAAGATATTTATGTTTTACAGGAACGATCGATATTTAACATTCTTAAAACAAGAGCTTGTAATTTTAAAATTTGTCATTTATTAGTTACAGTATATTAACCTAATGGTTATTCCATATATTAATATTTGCGATAAGATTTTTTGGGCTACAGTTTATCTTTGAACATGCATGTTAAATCTTTAATCTAAAAAAAAAATAATAATTTCGATGATAATACAGTAACCAAAATGATGATAGTCCTTGTCTAAATATGGCAAATGCAATGATGATGTGTCGATCGATATAAGGGCAATTTAATTAACAGCTTGCTAAATTAATTCTCAAATTTCGAAAATGGATTCGGTATTTCGTCATCATTCTCCGACCGAGGATTGCGTTTTTTATTCTCTCTACTTTCCTCGATCATCCGAAGATTCCGACGATAGATTTTTCGAATTCCTTCAAGAAACTAGTGCATTGATACTTTCGGAATTAGATCAATTTTTGAACGGATATATTTGGCAGAAAGAACCGTTTGGATTGAGAATTGTAAAAAATGATTTAGGTGATTTTTTTATTTGAGGACGGGTGATGCTTTTTTTCAATTTGAAAACGGATCATCTTTAATTTATGCCACGTCAACTTTGCTCTCCACATAACAATAGGACCAAATTACCCTTTTCTACATGGTAGAACGGTGTTCGGCGATTGCATCGAGGATGAACGGTTTATTGTTTTCTTGTTGCGTCATATTTCAGGAAAGTATCCGGATGTTGTGATTAGGTGAGGTTGAGCTCGTTTCCCAAATTGAGATGAAACCTTGTCGCCCTGACTTACTTACCAACAAAGCTTGCCCTCACATCAGCGTTTCAGATAACGATGGTGAATTTTTGTTGATCGAAGCCGCCATGCAACTTCCCTCTTGGCTAGATCCTAGTAATGGTGAAAATAGGGTAAACGTTCAAGCGTATTTGTATTCCTCTGTCTGTCTGTCTTATCTTTTGTTAATTTTCATATAAATTATCCTTCCTTCCTTATCATAACCACAAAAGGTTTTTATACATCGAAATGAACTTCACATAATTCCCTTGATGAAGCCGACAGATGGAGAATTGCAAATTTCGACGGAAAAATTGACTGTCGAAAGAGCAATTCAATTAGTGCGTGATGACAATATTCACACCAAAGCTGATGATGAAATACAAACGGCTGTGTTTGCAAATATAAGGGGGTATGTAAATATGCGAGTCTACATATCACAAGTTGTCGTAACATATTTTCCTAATTCTGAAAAATTCCTTCAGGTATCCAGCTGTGATCAAACAAAATATTCATCATGCCCGATGTCATGTTCCAAGAAGCATAGCTCATTTATTATACCACAATCCGC